CCAGTCGGCAATGGAGTGTCTGGTATTTTTGCGATTGTTGCTGGCTGCTCTCCTTGTTTAGATTTTGTGGCAGCACTCTTCTTGGGAAGTGATTGGCTTGTGGCTTTCAATGCTCTAGTACGGCAGTTGAGGTCCAGAGAAATGTGGCCTGCTGCTTGACAGGCCACGCAGAACGGGTGTCTCCTCGTACTGGCTATCCTGCTCGTGCGTGCGGCCTCAGCGACAACATACAGCTCGCGATGGGCAGAACTTGGCCATGTGGCCCAATCTGTGGCACCGAAAACACGCTAGGGCCCTAGGCCTGTGCTCATACACTGGGACAATTTCGTAGTCCAAGGATGGTCGTGTCGGAGAACTAAGGGTATCGAAGGTGATCAGAAGCATCTGTGTCTTATCCGAAATCCCAGAATGTTAGCGGTATTGCAACGAATGTGATTGGCAATATATTCCTCAGTGTGCTCAGCTCGTATTTTCACGACGCCCTTGCTAGTGACCTCAGCAGGTTGGGTTGCGTCCACTATTGCAACAGTAATCCTAAGCGCCTCAACTGTAGATCCCAGCGTCAGCTCTCTTTGTGTTACCAAATTGTTCAAGTGCTGCTTTTGCTAAATGGATAACTGCATTAGCCTTAACTATATACCTAAATGCAGAATGGTCGGCGACAACGCTAGTGGGGGCAGCCTGTCTTATAAGGCGAGCAATCGCTGACTTTGGGATCTCTTGTATAGACATTTGGTTGCGGCCTGACGAGCATGAATAAGTGAGGCCTACTCACCCTCTCCGACCGCAATTCGCCCTTGAGTCTTCGCGTCGTGTATCTGCTGTAGTTGACTGTCTCCCACTTCGATGGCTCGTTGTCCTCATGATCCATGCTGTCCTGGGGACTCTTAGCGAGCTGCGTCGGTGTTGAGGGCGCTGAACCGGCCGATGCTGCCTCAGCCTCTGCTTCAAGCAGCGGGCACGTTCCAGACACTGTTGAGCGGGCGTTCCTATGTTCCGTCACAATTTCATCCGAACGAGAGGCTACGAGTGGTGCCGTGGGTTGCTTCAGTTGCTGAAATGGGTGCAGGAGTGTTCACTGAGTCCCTGGTTGCAGGGGGCTTGGTCACGTAGGCGACCGCCAACCCGCACGGCCGTACTCGAGCGTTAGGCCCAATCCATCAGAACGGCACAAATTTCCATCTATGAAGAAATTGAAGAAATTGTCCGGTGAATGTCCAAGAATACACACACTCCACTTACTCCGCTAGCGTTCATGATCTTTCTCACCGAAATCTAAAGGCATACGTTGAAAAAATCTACTAGACGAAGAGTTTATGTGAAGAGTTTATGTTGCACGCTCAGAGCGTCTCGCCTTGTGAGAAAATTACCATGGATATTATTGCCTCCTTTTGAGCAAGCTCCCATCAATTGCTGTTCTACGGTTATGCTTATTGATCATCACAGCAAATGTCCAGAAGTTCTTTTTCTTTTGCAAGACAAGTTTTTACGGCAACGGTCAAGAACGTCCTGTTACAAGTGTTTGCTAGTGATGGCTACCCAAATGGAATAGTTTCTGATCATGGACCTAAACTCAGCTCAGCTGACATTGAGGAGTTCCTTCAGGAACGGGGCATATGGCGTTGCTTTTCTTCTGTTTACCACCCGCAAACAAACGGACTTGTAGAAAGGTTCAACTGAGTTCTCAAGTCTGTTGTTAAGATGACACTATACGAGCGACGTGATACCTGTGTCACCATGGTGGAATATTTGGGTGTCTACTGCTACACACCTCATGCCACAACGGGAGTTGCACCCACCGTTTTCCTGCACGGACAACTGCCACGGACTCGTTTAACCATTGTTGGATTACAGGATTCTTAATTTCAGTAAAATCCAGGAATGACTGCGTCAGCGTGTAAAACAAAAACAAGCTTTATTCAAACTTTACACAGACTGCTGTCTTGAAGCCGGTACCACAAAACTTTGCCATCGGCGTCTACGTCCATGTGAGAAAGTCTGTTCATGAGAATATATTCTCTCACTTTTCGGAACTGAAGAAAGTCACTGAGCAACGAAGCTCAGCTTCATTTTTTTTTTTGGAAGACGGTCGCGTATAGAACTTCCAAATTTAAACCAATACACCAAGAAGCCGCGGGGAAGCTGACAAGCTTGGAATTCTAAATTTGAATCTGACCTTATCGTACGAGCCTTTTCAAGGTAGTGCACCTGAGAGTGAGCAACACTACGACTGTTCACCTACGCCACAACAAGGGACAGCAGCCCTAATCAACGGTGAATCACGGTCAGACCCACCTTCACTGCCGAACAAAATGTCCGGCCAGCCATCATGTAAGTGCCGACGAGTGAAAAAAACTTCATTGAAGCTCAGGGACTGTGCTACACAAGCGAAAGTTGTTTGTTTTTTTAATTAATCACGGTAAGTGTTGAATATAGGAAAGAAAATAAAGATGAGCGTGTCAGAATGAAGGCATCAGATGCATCGTTCTTGTGTGTTACAACTGAAAGGGCCAAGCTAGCGCACAGGTAGCAACTAAATTACAGTTATAGTATCAGAATTACTACAGTACAGCACAACAGTGTCTCCTATACCTCTCATTATTTGTTGGTTTTCATCAGCCCTTTCTAGTTCGGAACATTTATCAACCTTCCATTTATTCCAGTACGAAACTAAATCAAAGTTCAAGTAAATAAAGTTCATAATTTATAAGGGTATAGTGCACCACGACAAGGACACAAAAAGAGAGACGCGCACACACGAAGTGCTAACTTGCAACTATTGTTTTATTTGCGATTACACATGCTATTTATACAGTAAGAGTGGACCGATAAAACCTGGAACATATCATGTTAAGATACAGCACGCCTCATGTAAGCGTCATCATCGATTGCGACAATCGGAACTCGACAACTTCAAAGTGAAGATTCAAAATACTGCCGGTGTGTCGAGTGGACAGCTTTTAGAGCTCCTTTACTTTTATCTTAACTCGACCAATGCGACGTGGAGTGGGAACACTGTGAAACAAAAGAACGGGATATGTATAGGTTCCTGCATAGCCCCGTACTTGAGCGACCTGTTTTTAGAAAAACGTAATAAGGTCCTTGACGAGCGTGTGAAGCACACCGATGTGATTGCTGTTTTTAGATTTGTAAATGACTATCTGATCGTTGCCAATAATGATCATAATTTTTACGCAGTTGTGACAAACTCTAACCATGTTCTTGACAGCGTTATCTCTCCTGGTGCTGACGCATGAAGTACCAAATGACAATTTCACAAGATTCCTTGACCTCGGGCTGTATTTTTCGCCAGCAGGAGTATGCTGGAGCTATTAACCGCGAGGAAATAAACCGGTTCTTCCGTTTACGTCCGCTAACTCAAAATTGTTAAAGCGTGCAGTGATAAATTTCTGTCTTCGAAATTCACTGGTGAAGTCGTGCCACCACAAGCTTGATGAAAGCTTGTGGGCTCAAGCTAAACGTTTATTGGATTCTGGTTATCCCATGCGCCTGTTAACCGCCGTCATGGAAAATATAAGAGGGAGAGGAAGGGCAAACGTCAGAGACCAGGCAGACGTCACTAAGGCAGCCAAGGTTGCTGTATTGCCCTACATGCATGCCAGTTCGCTGAACTTGCGAAGGATAGCGAGAAAGGCTGGTGCGGATGTAGTTTTTTCTGCTCCAGAACGGTTGCAAAGAATGTGTAAAAAGGTTAACGCGGACTGCTGCGGGAAAAGGGACTGTAAGATCAAGCACCGGGAAAAATTTGTGAATTATTGTCGTCTATGGCACTCCTTTGACTTGTGCTTGCGTGCAAATTGGCCAATCTGGAAGGTGTGTGAATGAAAGGCTTGGGGAACACAAATACAACGTAGAAAGTGCTATATATGGTCATTTGGCCCTTCACTGTCAGAGGTGTGGTTGTGTCCCTGTGGTTCGAAACACCCGTATTCTCTTTAGGGCCCATGACACAACTAAACGAGAAATAATTGAAGCCTTTGAAATTGACAAAATGAAAGATAAGTGTGTGAGTGTGGCTTCAATAGTTTTGTCAACTAAAGAAAAGAAGTATCTGGAATCTTCACTTTGAAGTTGGGGAGTTCTGATTGTCGCGATCGATGATGACGCGTGCATGAGGCGTGCTGTATCTTGACATGATATGTTCCAGGTTTTATTGATCCACTGTTACTGTATAAATATCATGTGTGATCGCAAATAAAACAATAGTTGCAAGTCAGCACTGTGTGTGTGTGTGCCTCTCTCTTTTTGTGTCCTTGTCGTGGTGCGCTATACCCTCATAAATGATGAACTCCAACCAACTAGCCCAGCATTGTGTCTTAGCAAATAAAGTTCACCTGCTCTTTCAGAGATGGCACCTAATGCAATGAGAAAATGCACGCGTACATCGACCACCACAGAGCTTGTCGAGTAGTGCCGAATGACGGATTGATTAATTCAGCAGTGTTGCATTGTTGGGAGGGGGCTGACAACAATTTCCAAAAGGTTGCATTTCAAAAGAAGACACAAGCCCTTAAAACTCTTGCTTAGTAATGATACATGTCTTGTGGTTCGTATTGCTATACAGATACAAGACTCCCAATCATCATATAAGGTGCCTGTAGTGTATTCAATACTACCCAGTACTGGCTGCTTTACACATGTATGAGCCAGCTTGCTAACCAATTTATCATAATTGCCGTTCGTCCCAATGACAATACTTGTGGTCATTGACTGTCTTTGCCCTCTTCAGTATTGAGCCGTATATGGAGCGTCCAAAATTATCAAAATTGCCTTTTTTTCATTTGGCCTGGTCAGCTATTCTTCTGGCCTTACCACACACAGCTTTAATGAACCCGGCTTTGGTATTTCTAGTGTGGTGAAATTTGGAGGTGGACTTTTCTTCGAAATTGATATGAATTTTTTCATTCCCATCGTAATGCCTATTTTCTAATGTAAATTGTTCATCGTTGCCAAAATGCATCTTAAGAGTTGACCTGCAGGAGGACGGCCCTCCACCGGACCCCAACTATCGCTTTCTGGCTGACCGAATGCGTGAGGGTGATGCAGATGGTGGTGGGGACCGCGGCGGCAGCCGTCGCCACCGAGACAATTATGGAGGCCAGGACTTTGACAATGTGCGGCATGCCATGCGACAGGATAAGGCACTACAAAGGGTAATTATAGCAACTTTAGTAAGTTTAGCACCAAAGTAGCTCAGTGGTTGTGTCATGTTGCTTGTGGTTTTATTCTCGTGGTCTAGTGGCTAAGGTACTCGGCTGCTGACCCGCAGGGCGCGGGTTCGAATCCCGGCTGCGGCGGCTGCATTTCCGATGGAGGCGGAAATGTTGTAGGCCCGTGTGCTCAGATTTGGGTGCACGTTAAAGAACCCCAGGTGGTCTAAATTTCCGGAGCCCTCCACTACGGCGTCTCTCATAATCATATGGTGGTTTTGGGACGTTAAACCCCACATATCAATCAATGTGGTTTTATTCTCAGCCACTTGGTTTCATTAGTGTACCAAGAGCAGTGAAATACATTTGAAAGATTTGTACCTTCTTAATGCTACAGTATCAGAGCCAAAGAAATAGTGGTATGCTACTATCACCAAGCAGTAGAACCTGTTTTGCTAATAGAATGCACTCTTTGTCTAGTTAGCCAGCAATGCAGATGAGTAAGAGAACAAGGAGCTGCCGGATGGAGCCAAGCAAGGACTATGCTTAGACATAACTTGCTAATACATTTAGCAATGCCAAGATATTAGTGGTGGGTAAATGATTGTGCTGCAGTGTATGCATGGAAACGCATTGTTCGTAGTGGCGCCGAATAGCCAGCATAGAAAGGCAAGGGAAGTGATTTCTGAGCAAGTTTATTGCTGCTGTTCAGCTTACCTTGAGGTTAAAGAGTGGGCCAGTTATATACTCTGACAGGAAAAAGTAATAAAATTAGGCTTACTAGAATGAAATGAAGCAGAGCGACCATTGCAGTTGTTCTCTGCCACAACCAGGAGTCTGGCCCTGTCCTGCCTCCCAAGCTGGCCATGACTGGGCGACAGCGGCGAGAGTACGAGCAGTGGAAAAGCGACCGTGCTGCTATTGACCAGGAGCGAATGCAGCGCCACACCGATGCTGAAGGCAACTTCACGCGCGAATGGGACCTCCACAAGGGGCAGAAGCAGATGGGGTGAGACATCTCATGACTCAGTCAACGTTTCATACCTGCCAAGTCTCCCGGGTTGCCCAGGAGACTCCGGATTTGGACCGTTTCTTAAGTTTGTACAATTGTCATGAAAATTTTCCGGAAATCAAAATTTTTGTGCGTGATCTGGCCACCTTGACAAAAAAGCAGCTCAATCTGCTCTAGGCTTTTCGAACCTACCCCATTTTACTATGAATTAGTTTAGGAGGCATTCATCTAAACGTACTGTAGAATCTGAGTGATGCGAAACCACGGCATACGAATTCCTGAAATTCCTCAGCGAAATTCCACTATGTCTATTGGGCTTAATTTCGAATGTTCCGAACGGCAGGTGATACGTATCACCTGCCTAATCGCGGCAGGTGATACGAACTTTAGTACGGAAATCGTTTAACGAAGGCCGAAAGCAGCGTACTCGAAGCAGCAGCGTCTTGACTGGTGAAGTCCTACAGTGGGAGGGCAATGTTTCACTGATTTCCATAAACTCCATGCTTGGCTGGACTTTTCAAGGACGCACGACTCTTTTGACATCACAGTGTGCCACATCGAGAATGATAATTTGGGCCTTGAAAACTCATGTAGTGGAGTCGGACGAGTTCTTACAGACGTTCTGGGAACTGGAGTGCACTGGTATATCTGACACGGTTGACAGACGTAATGAAGCCAGCAAGGTGATGCAACATTTTGAAAGCATCATCACATATGGTGATAGAAGATATGAAGTGGCATTACCTTGGAAAGACGGATTTGAGCTTTCGGACAACAAGCAAGATGCTGTGACAAGGCTTTGTAGGCTACTCACGCGCCTAGCAAGGCAGAAGGGATTGTTAGAGACATTCGGCGACATCATACGCAAGTACCTACGAGCAGGACTCGCCGAAATTGTCGATGACATTCCTACCGAGCCAAACAAGTTGTACTACAGGCCACGAACGGAAGTCATCAGAGAGCAGGCGTTGCCTACTAAAGTTCAAGTAGTTTTCGACGCATTTTCTCATGATAAGGGATGCAAGTCTCTTAATGAGTGCCTTGAAAAAAGAGACAACCTCTACCAAAACCTTGGGAAGATACTTATGCATTTCAGGACACATCTCATAGCGGTAATTGCTGACATAGAGAAGGCATTTCTAAAGATATCTATACGTGAACAAAACAGAGACGCCTTTCACTTCCTGTGATTCGCTGATGGCAACTTAATGGGTAGTCAGCTTCAAGAATGGAGGAAGATGCGGGTACCCTTTGGAGCTACAGGCAGCCCATTCCTGCTCATGGCGACCATCCTTCACCATGTGAGGAGAACGCAAGGTGCCTAAGCAAAAACAGCAAACAGAACGGCAGAGTCATTTTACGTAGATGACCTGGTCACCGGCGCTGGCACAGAAGACGAAGCTGAAGAATTTAGTCACGAGGCGCAATAATTCATGAAATCAACGGGAATGGTCCTATGCAAGTGGACCACAAACTCACAGAATCTGATGGTTGCCCTTGAACGGAAGAAAAGATCTGCCAGTAAAGAAATGGTAGTCCTTCATGAGCAATTTTTTAATGTCCTTGGTGTTGCCTTGAATCCCACAAAAGATGAGTTCAGCTTCTCTGTCGACAGACTGTTGGATTTTATGAAAGAAAGACTTGAAGCTAAACGGTTCGTCCTGCAGGCAACGTCAAGAATATTTGACCCACTCGGAATCGTTCGACCATACACTATTGCCATACGAATACTATTCCAAAAACTGTGGACACGCGGAATGAGCTGGGTTGAACAACTACCTGATGACCTGCGACACGAATGGCAAAGCTTAGTCCGGCAGCTTCCACAACTGCAGGAATTGTCGATTCTTCGCTATCTCGGCGGAAGGAGCAAGTTGCCAAGTGGAATGCAACTCCATGTCTTCTTCGTTGCCAGCCCAGCAGTGTACGGAGCCGTTATCTACGTCGTCACTGCTATGGCCGAACGACCTATCTTGCTGATCTCCAAGGCACGGGTGGTTCCCATTGAGAAAGCAACGCTATTACGCCTGGAGCTTTTTGGCGCATTGGTTGGCGCAAGGCTGCTGACATACATGAGCAGTGCACTCAACGACATTGATATTGAATACACTATGTGGACAGACTCCACGATTGTATTGTCGTGAATACGAGGAGACTGCACTAAGTGGAAGCAATTCGTCGCTAATTGCATCACTGACATCAAGTGCCAAACAGAACCATCCCAGTGGAAATATTGCCCAGGATCGGAAAATCCATCTGATCTACTCACAAGAGGGGTGGCATTAGACAAAGTTAAATCCAGCTCATTGTGGTGGCATAGTCCTGACTGGCTATATGGCTCAACGGACAAGTGGCCTCTTCAACATATAATTTCACCTGGCATTGGTGAAGCTATCTAAAGCGAGGTAGCAGCAGTTCAAGTAGTGACACTTAGTCCAATTATACACAATGAGCATTTCAGCAAGCTTCAGCACCTGTTGCGAATCGCAGCTTGGATGTTTCGATTTACAGACTACTACTGACGTAAAACAGAAGAAACTAGCCACCTGACAGTGACTGAAGTTCTTCGGGCTGAGCACTACTGGGTTAAGTGCGTCCAAAACCAAGAATTGAATTCGGAATTGAGCTGCCTAACACATGGGCGTACACTCAAACCCGCATCCCCCATTGCCAACCTTCGCCCATTTATTCACGCTGGCGGAATTCTCAGAGTCGGTGGCCGTTTGTCACTCCTGAATTCACAACCTGGAGTCAAACATCCAGTACTTCTGTCACTCCTGAATTCACAACCTGGAGTCAAACATCCAGTACTTCTCCCAGCAAAGCATCATTACTCCATTCATCTGAGCACATCAGCAATTCCTACATGGCGGTGTACGAGACATGCTTACTCAGCTGCGAGAGTGCTACTGGATTTGTCGCGCACGTATTTTGGTGAAAAAAAGTTATACGTAACTGCAACGTGTGCAAACAATACACCGCCAGACCAGGAAGCGCCCCAACAGCGCCTTTGCCGAATGACCAGATAGAGCCAACAAACCCTTTCGAGGTTGTTAGTTTAGATTTCCCCGACCCACTCTTAGCACGCATGCAAGAAGGCGACGCAAAGTGTCACATGGCCCTTTTCACATGTGCTGTTTTGCGAGCTATTCACCTTGTGCTCGTCTCTAGCATGACAGCTCAAACATTCATCTTGTGTTTGCGACTGTTTGTCAGCCAAAGGGGATTGCTCTCCGTCGTCTATTCGGATAACGCGAGGAGCTTTAAAAGGACATCACAGGATTTAAAATGCCTGATCAACATGTTCAAAGAAAAGGACATCGCCAACCATCTCACCGCCAAGGGCATTCTCTGAAAGTTTATCATGCCCAATGCACCATGGTGGGGAGGATAGTGGGTGCGGCTGATCAGATCAGTAAAAACGTCGTTACAAAAGATTCTTGGCAAAGCCTGGCTTAACTACGAAGAACTAACGACAGTGCTGACAGAGGTCAAAGCAGTAATGAACTCTGGACCGTTAACCTTTGTCGAGACAGACACAACAGAACCGTGCACGTTGACTCCTGCCAACTTACTGCTTGGACGTCGAGTAACGGTGATGCCGTATGATACAGTTGAAAGTGACGCCAGCCCAAGACGATCAGATACCATTCCCAGTCATGCCTACAGAAAACTTCTAGCTGATAATTTTCGGGAACGATGGCAGAAAAAATATCTGCTGCAACTCTGATGTGCACATTTTGCTCGTTATCAACGAGCCATGAACTTAAAAGAAGGCGATGTTATCGTGCGTTCCGAGACTTTGCCTAGGCTACTTTGGAAACTTGCGAGAATTGTTCAGGTTTTTAAAAGTCTAGATGGGCATGTTCGCTTTTGCAAGGTAAAACGGCAAGGTGGTCTTATCGTGACAAGGCCCATACAAAAGCAGTACAGGCTGGAACTCCGTGATTGACTTCATCGTACGGCCGGGAATGTTAATTCTGTCGTGAGGGTTGGCGGACCACCTGAGGAAGAGAATGAATTAAGAACAAGCACCAGAGAAAAAACGGGGTCCTTTAAGTATTAGCAGAAAAAACTGGCCTCTTACCTGTAAATAAAGTTTCATTTTACTACGTCGACCCATTCGAGTACTTCTAAGCTGCTTCACGCCATATCTTCCACACAGTAAAAGATAAAAAAAGCCTCGTTGAGCTACACTCAACTATTAACTCTGTTATATCATGGGCTAAATCTGAAGTGGGACACTTGCAAATGATGTCCTTCCCAGCCTGAACACCGGAAGAGTCCAGACACTCTTGACCCCCCTCGCCCATGATTTACGCCAACTATACTACTTGTATACTAGCTGGATACTAGCATACGGCATGTTTAATAATAAATATAAATATTTATTAGATGCTAATTGATGTTTTAGACTTCAGGAGTCGTTAGGAACATGCATCTGCTCCAAAAACACCAATAGCAACCCTAAGCTATAGCATTTTTTTCTACTCCAAAGCACCATTTTTTCTGCTCCAGAATCTGCTCTAAAAAGCAAAATGTCGCTTCCATCACTGAACACCTAATCTGACATCCCCTCGGCAGTGACGGCACGATTTTCCGCATAAAAAAAAAAAAGAACAGCTGAACGTCGTCGAGGCATGAAGTGACTGTTCATGTCAGTGGCTTCCGGAACGTCAACGGCGTCTTTTGGTGGGTTCAACTGCGCTCGCTTGATGCGCTAGCTCCTCCTAGTAGAGATCAGTGATTACGATAGACCCCATATATAGTGAAGAGGATTTTGGTCTGTTGTAAAAGGGGTATGTAAAATCCAAGTACTGGTACTGTTACAAAAGACTTTTATGGAAACACTGAATGGGTCTGTCATAACTGAAGAAAATAATGAGCCATATCGAATTCATTCTCAATGAGAATTATAAAGTTGATTTCTTTGGAAATCATTCTTCAGAGTCTGTAGCCTTTTTCTGTTATATTCTAAAATATTGCTAACTGAAAAC